TGGAAGACTCCGACCTCGCCAAAGGCAGCTTCGAGTCCTTCGAGGAGTACAACGGATGTCTCCAGATATCGATGAAGCCCAGTAAACGTCAACCACCGCAAACAGCACATCGTATACAAGGAGTCATCATTTCATCCGACGACGACAACTTGGTCCTCACACCTTGTCCAAAGAGAGTCGAAAACATGTGTAGACAAATCGACACACACCTGGCTACCTCGTCACTGTCCCCCGAGCAAGCCAGGAAGATGGCCGGGAAGTGCAACTTCCTGACTGGGAGACTATTTGGCAAGGTGGGCCGAGCGGCCCTGAAGGCACTTTATTCTCGAGCTCACTCCTACTCACATGCCCTCGACAAGCCCACGCGCTCATCACTGCTCGCCCTCAAGGACATCATACAGCACTGCCGACCAATGACGATACCACGCACACCGACCAAGCCGACATACAGCGTCATCTATACGGACGCATACTTCCGGCTTGGCTCCACCATCTACAAGCCGGGAGACAGCGACATCCCGAATTGGGACTCGAAGTCGACGTCCGACATCGAAAACGGCTGGGCGGCGGTTTGCTTCCACCACGGTGACGTGCAAACCGCCGCCTACTTCCAGGGTCGTCTTCCTTCACTACTTGTTCGACAGTTTGCCTCCGACCAGGCCTTCATCTACCTTCTCGAAGCATGGGTAGCGATACTGGCACCGTTGGTCTTCGAACCGTGGCTGGATCAGTTCTACGTTCAATGCTGTGACAACGAAGCCTCCCGACACGCCCTACTCAAGGGCGTCGGCAAACATCAACCTTTGAATTGCCTCATTGCGGCACATTGGACTTGGCACAATCGACGCAGTATTGCACATCGACTTGAGCGGGTACCCACCAAGGCGAACATCTCCGACGGGATCAGCCGCTTTGAGAACGTTCCGGAGTCTGAGAGCTGGACTAAACTCGATTTGCCTCTTAATGCACTGACGAGTAGAGCTGCGAAGATCATAGGAGATATCCATTTTGCTTCCTCGACGGGTTTTTCCGACTTACCCGAAATTCACCGATTGCACGACCATTTGCTTTCGATGTTACGCTAATGTTCTTTCGAGTGGCGTTCGCCTGCGATGGGAGGACGCGACCACACTCGATGGGAACCAGTCGGTCCTCCCAGCGGAAGGAAAGATCAACACCGATCTGTAAGATCGACTACTTCGATCTGTAAGATCGAAGCGCAGACTTAACGCCACCGAAGCGGAAGCAGTTGGAAAACACCTCCGCTGAAGCCAGGGATTCATGGCCTTTGTGTGAGAATTTCGTTGTCGTGTAGCACACACTTGTTTGTGCGAAGTGACAACTTCATATCTCACTTAAACACCGAATCGGTCAGGGGATTGACTCACCGATTCATGTCGAATGATTGTATACTCCGTGGCCATTTTTGGCGAAAGCTGTTACAGCTTGAGCGAAATTTTGTTTCACCCACCCGTCCCGACCCTCTTCGATATTACTTTAATTTTCCTCTGCTTCCTGTCTGCGAGCACCGCCTGGGAACCAGTCGGTCCTCCCAGCGGAAGGAAAGATCAACACCGATCTGTAAGATCGACTACTTCGATCTGTAAGATCGAAGCGCAGACTTAACGCCACCGAAGCGGAAGCAGTTGGAAAACATCTCCGCTGAAGCCAGGGATTCATGGCCTTTGTGTGAGAATTTCGTTGTCCTATAAGTATCATAAGGAACCCCAAAAACGGAACAGTTCCCCTATCCAAAACCCTAAGCCCTACAGATCCCTCGAAAGAACCCTTCAGATCGCTTTAAAGGTAGTATTGGCAATTACTGAGGCCCCTATGTTAGGGCTCACGCCATGTGATTAACGGTTCATGAACGTTCATTTCCGACCTTCAAAATTCCGTTTATTAAGGATTATGTCTTACGGTATATGACGGGATCCCGAATATGATTCAACTCTTAAGTTAGGCATATTCCTGAATTAAGGGATTTAGGAAGGTCTCTGTGTGTGTCTGTGCGTATATGTATATATAATTAGATAATATGAAAACAGACACACGCATGCACACTTTTTATATGAGGTTCGGAACAAGTCCCAATAATGTCAGCTGGCAGCCCAAAGTACAGAATAACAGAGTATGCACACAAGCCTGTTGCTAATTCCAAGTATACAAACACCCAGAGGGTCCAAGTACCCAAATAGTAGGGTTTTAGGTCCCCAAAACCATACTCTGAATGGTTTTTGGGACTTTGAAACCCTACTATTTGGGTACTTGGACCCTTAGGGACAGTACTTACTTTGGACTTTAAAGTCTAGAAATACCACCTACTTCGGGCTATTTGGACCTACCTTGAGATCCGAAAACCCACCTTTTTAAGGGCTCTACCCTCTGGTTAAGGGGTCATAACCTACTATGTTGTAGGGTTTTGGGGCCACAATATGATTAAGAAACCTTGGGCCTTTATGAGGGTTCCTTAATATGAATCCTACTATTTTGGGGGTATAGGCCCAGGGTTTCTTAATCAGGTTCCTACATTAAACTCCTTAAACTCCGAAATCCCTAAACCTACACCCCTAAAACGCTAAATCCCTAAACTCCCTAAACCCCTTAAACCCCCGGGATCCTATTATAATATGTAGGGTTTGGGGCCGCAAGTAAGCCCTCAACCGTGAACCCCAGGGATGGTTCAGGCCCGTACCTTCTGGCTGTTTCGGTTTCGGGGCTCGGGGGTTCGTGGGCAACGACAGGGTGAGCTGCCGGTTGCAGATTGACCTAGAGGGTTTAGGGTTGGGCAGTCTCCACTGTAGTTCTTCTGTGGGGCGCGTTATAGGATCCCAAATCAAGTGGTTAGAACCACATCAGAAAAGTAACTACGATGGACACTATAGGTAGGTTCCCATAGAGTCCAAAATCCCTTAATCAGAATATCCCTTAAGCCATGTTAGGGGTCCTACTATTATTTAGGGTTTCCCTAAGGGTCCAAGTTCCCCAATAGTAGGGTTTCAAGGTCCAAAAACCATTCAGGGTATGGATTTTGGGGCCTAAAACCCTACTATTTGGGTACTTGGACCCTCTGGGTTTTCGAAATTACCCTAGGCATCTAAGGACTCATATGTTAAGGCTTTTGGGCCCAAAGACCATACTATATAAGGCTTTTGGGCTATTTTGATGCCCAGGGTTAGGGGATATTGGAATTGCTGGGTTCGTGGCAAAGTAACCCTCATTTAGGATGTCCTTAAGGGGGGGTGGTCCAAGGGGGTAGGTAACCTAGTAATCCCCATTCTTCCCCAATACTCCCTAAGCTTCCCTAAGGTTCCCCAAAGCTCCCTAGTACCCTCCCCCCTTGAACCACCCCCCCTTAAGGATCCTATAACTCATCCCCTCGAGGCTTGCAGGGGTGCGATGTTGGGGTTTGGCGAGGCGAGGCCCCACCTGAGCCCTCTAAAACTTAGGTTCTGTAGGGGTTTCTATATAGGGTTCCTTTAAAGGGGTCTATAAGGGATCCTTTCAGGGATCTTATCTTAGATCCCCAATGCCCAACCTTTTAACTTTTTGGGTTCTTGTAGTTTAGTAGGAATCGGAAAGTTTAACCTTTTGTTTCTGTGGCTTATTGGAGTAGTAAGAAAACCTTCCTTTTGTGGAGTCCTTACCCTAAGCATCTAAGGACTCAGAAATGAAGGCTTTTGGACCCAAAGACCATACTATGTAAGGCTTTGGGGCTACTTTGATGCCCGGGATTAGTGTGATTTCTTTATGTGGGAGTTTCCGAAACTTAGGGGGACCTTACTATGGGGTCCTTATACTCAGGATCCTACTATTTAGAGTTGGAGCCTCTGGGAGCCTCCAACCCTAAAACCCCAATAGAGGAGCGTCCAAACCTGCAACGGCTCACAAAACCATACAAGTATCTACAACCCAAACGTTAAACCCCTGAATCCTATATTCCTGCAAATGGCTGGAACCTTCAAGCCCGCAGGTTTGGGAGTTTGGGGTTTTGGTGTGTCTTTGGGTGTAGGGTTTAAACCCTTTACACAGCCCCTTTATACGTTATGGTTCTGTCTTGGGTACTGCCGCCCACATAGAAACAGTCAGGTAGCGTTTGTATTTGTTATGTTTAGCCTTTAGTAATGGCCCCTAATATGGACTACTAGAGGGTGGGGGCAGTACTCAAAACCCTGAACGCTAAACCCTAAACCGGACTCTAAACCCTAAACGCTCAGCTGTGGCCTCAAGAGGCCTTCATGTTCGCGTGGCTTCAGATGAGGGCAAAGTGGAACGGCGAGACACAGGTCCGAATTGCAGTGGCTTTGCCATGGGCTTTTCAGGGTTCAGGTCTAACTTAGATCCCCAAGACCTAACCTTTAAACTTTTTGGGTTCATATAGTTTTGTTTGGATCGGAAAGTTTAACATTTTTATTTCTGTAGCTTATTGGGGTAGTAAGGGTTTTTTGGGGGTTTGGGTTTGAAGGTTTAAACTTTAGTGTCTAGAGTTAAGGTTGGGGGCCAGGATTTAGTGTTTAGGGGCTTGTTTGCAAGGCTCGCTATATTGGTCAACGGGTTTGCCATGGGCTTCTTAAGGGTATTATACCGTCAACTGGGATTGTTTACGCAAGGGTTTGCTAGTGTACGTACCAATCTAACATAGTCCTATCGCCAATTGCGGAGATTCTGAGTTCCTCATCTTTCAAGCTCCCACGTGCTCCCAGAAACGCGTAACGCCAGGGGTTCCGAGATTTTGGGGTTCAGGGGGCTAGAATTCTAGGCTTCAGGGTTAATCTACGGTTTAGGGAGCTTTGCAAAGCCTTAAACGATCGTAAACCGAAAAAATAAACCCTAAACCTGAAGCCTCGAATTTCCCACGCTTCAGTCCCAGGCCACGTCTTAACCACGACGTGATCTTGCTAACTACGCCGCACACCCACTAACCACGACTCGTCCTTGCCTTACACATAGCCCTGCTGCCACTGCTTCTCGAGCGCAATGGCGCAATCTGTTTTTTTAGCATGGTCTTTCGGACCTGTTCTTTGACGCTGGGGCCCTCGCCAGGCCCGCTTGTGTCACCACGAGCCTCTCTCTTTGTTCTTGAGAACTTGCTTCTTGGAGGCGACGGGCAGGAGCTGCCGTACCCCTCTGTGCTCTTCGTTTTGGAAGGCAACCAGTCCGAAGCCTGCTTAGTCTAGGAACCTCTATCACGTTTGCTTCCAGGTGTCTGCAGTCTTTCTTGCAAGACGTCCTGTTGGCAGGCACTGGGCAGCACAGTCTTGCTCGACCATCTTTTTGTCCATTCCCTTCCCATGTCTCTTCGAGGTATCTGCGGGTGGAATCGCGAGCATCGCTGAAGCCACCGCCGCTATCAGCGCTGTGGATACAACGCGCGTCTGGCTGTGCACGATCCCCTCAGCGTCCGGTGGAATGGCAGCACGAGTGCGACATGCCCTATGCCCTGACATCAAAATTGCCCACAAGCATTACGTTGTATGGTCTTTGGGCCCAAAAGCCTTAGTATATGAGTCCTTAGAGCCCTAGGGGAAGTAATTAAGTTTTATATGGGTAATTGTCAAAAATTTGGTCCCTTTTTGGGTAATTACCCTGCATATGAGTATTAGAGCTCTAGGGCAGGTGCGAGCACGGCATCCCAAACCCTGAACCCCAAAACATACCCAGAGGCTCCTCATGTACTACCATGATGGTATTAGGTTCCCAAAATCCATCCTTGCTATGGGTTTTGGGACCTAATTCCAAAATGGTAGTATATCAGGAGCCTCCGGGACAAACCCCTTTACATCCCGTCTGGGAACCCTTAAAAGAACCCCTACAGATCCTTGCAGGAACCCTTAGATCTCCTTAAAGAAGGCCCCCCCCACGCCCAAACCCCAAACCCAAAACCCAAAAACCCAACCCCTAAACCCTAAAGCCTAAGCCCAAAACCCTTAAAACCCTTAAAACCCTTAACCTTAAACCCCTAAACCCTGCACCCAAGTCCATCAGCCTTTTGGAGGTGGAAGACTCCGGCTCTTCGCCGGCACTGGCCCCGGGCACTCTTCCCAGCGCCCCACCCGCAGATGGTGTGAAGGGCGTCTGAAGGATGCGGTTTAGGGTTTAGGGTTCTACCCGGAGACTCCAATATCCTTGATAAAGGAATCTACCTTAAATCATATAAGGGATCCTACTAAAAGTTACTGCATATAATCCTAACTCAGGGATATTGGAGTCTTTGGGAATGACGCTTTTCTATTGGGCTTTCCGGAGAGCCCTACACCGCATAATTCAGGGATATATTCCTCGAGTTAGTATAAGAAGCTTCAAAGAAGTTAAGGAAGATCCCTTAACCGAGGCGTATTGAAGTGGGCTCTCCAGGTGCTAGCTAGCATTTCTCACACGTTCCTAGATGCATGGCCCAAAGGCTCCATGTATTTGTACCTACATAGTATACACTTAGGCCTTAAGGTACCTATATAATATAGAACCCCCTCTAAGGCCTACATTAATTATTATATAGGTAAGCTTCCCAATCTGCCCCCTTGGGTTGCCTGAAACCCCGAAACCTACTCGCACCACTCGTACCAACACTTGCGTGCTTAGCTAGAAGTGAGGCTTTGTATCAACACCATGTGCTAGGCTAGACATAAACAGATGCAAATATTCATATTCATGCTGTGCTAGTATTGAGTATCGGCCTATTGAATCATTCTATGGCTTATGTAATTTTAACACATATGTACGTGTATATATCTGTATGTATATGCAGATGTATATGTATATATGTGTCTATGTATGTGTTTGTTTACAGATATGCATAGGGTATGCAGGAATGCACCCATACATACACCTATAGATTAACGAACACATCCGTATACAGCACTAGATGAAACATGTCTCATGTGCATTTTGGTGGTTAGGCTTTAGGCCTCTCTGGTGTAAGCGCCGCTTGCAGCTCGCGAAAGCGCTTATGGCACAGCTGAGGGCAGAACAAAAGACGTGATTGAGGGATCTTAGAGCTTAGGGCCTATAGGGCTCACCTTAACCCCAAATAACCTACTTTTTCCGGGGTCTAGCAAATAGCTGTGGATCCAAAAACCTACCGTTTTAGGGGTTAGACCCTGTAATTACGGGGTCATAACCTCCGATTTTGCAGCGTTTGGGGTCGCAGGTAGGCTTTAGGGCACAGCCCTGAAGCTTAAATCCTTCAATCTTTTACTCCACACGCCATAAGCACCAGACCCTAACCCAAGAATCAACCCGGGGATCCAAAAGCCTACCGTTTTAGGGGTCAGACCCTCTAATTTGGGGGTCATAACCTACTATTTTGTAGGGTTTGGGGATGCAGGAATAGCCTATTATTTGCTTAAGAAACAGCCAAAAAATAAAAATAATAATCCCTATATTACCCCCATAAGGAATATATTTTTTATTTTTTGGGGGGTTCTTAAGCAAATAGTAGTAGCTACAGCTCCCTAAACCCGAAACACTAAACCCCGAAGTTCCCTCCCCCAAAAGGAGCCCCCCTCTCGGACGTCAACAGCTGTGATGAGGAAATAGCCCTCGACCGGCAGGCAGCAAGAGCTCCCGAAGCGTTTAGGGTTTCGGGGATTTAGGTTTTAGGGTGTTAGGGATTTAGGTTTTTGGGTGTGGTATGCAACAAAATCAACGAGTATGCTGATGATACACCTTACAGGACCCTTTAAAGCCCTATGAAATGCTTCCAGCTCCAGGATGAATTTTACTTGAAACACTGACATCAGCCGATCAAACTTCTTTAAGCATCTGTAGAAATTCACTCAAAACCCATTCCACACCACATGGTTTAGGGTTTGGGGTTTAGGGTTTAGGGTATTCTTCCACAATCCTTTAAACACCGTGTTTCTCGAACAAATCCTTTAACCACCTTCCTTCCTCTGCGTCTGAGATCTTTGCCGTCTGCTTAAGGGCCCAAGGTTACGACCCCGGGCCAGCCACCAGCGGTGTTAGGTCCTTCCATGCGTCCTGGCTGTTGCAAAGACTAGGCCGTATAATCTTCCAGGATCCTGTTTATTGGGTCCTTCAGGGGTCTAGGGTCCTAACTATAAGGTCCTTGGAAACAGAGGGTAGGGTTTAGGGTTCCAGAGTCTTGGCCGCTGCAAAAGGAGAGCACGTGGGCATTTTCGGTTTAATTAAGAGCGTTAATAAGTTATGTAATAGTACTATATTTTAAAGATGTTGCAACAAAGAGCAAATGAGTGTTATCGTTGCAATGGCATTTACAGTTTTTGTAATAGTAATCATGACATGGTGTCAGTACCGGCCGTATGTCTGGGGTATTTATGGTTGGAGGGTTTAGCACGTAGGGCTGTAGGGTTTTGAACCAGGGCTTTGGGTTTGCAATGCTGCACATACTGAGAGTTATGCAGGCATGTACGTATGTATGTATGTACGAATGTCTGTTCGTCTCTCTCTCTATATATGTATATATATATATATATATATATGTAAGACACGTGTGTATATACAAACAGCCTAACAATTCAAAATATTATACTTCGCTCGCCTCCACTACAAGAGTGCCCGGCGTTAAACGAGGGTTGGAGCTGCTTGAGGGTTGGTGGGATGCTTCTCTTCCGAGAGGTTTCCAGCTATCCTTAGATACCCAATACCTAAGCTTTAAACTTTTTGGTTTCTTATAGTTCAATAGGAATCGGAAAGTTCAACCTGTTGTTTCTGTCGCTTACTGGGCGTATTAAGTATCTCTCGGGTACTGTAACAGTTCGATTGTATTTTTACGAAACGTGTACTTTATATGTAGCGCTTAATATGAACCCTAGTATAGACTGTTGCAGGGTGGGGGCAGCACCCAAGCATTCACTTGTTCGCACTTGCCGGGTTTCCCTAAAAAAGATGTGCGAGCAGTTGGTTTTGACTTCCCCCGTAGTCCATATGTGCTCAGTTTAAGCCCTGCTCTAGATACTAAGGCTCTTATATCACACCTTACCTCACACAAAAGTCCAAGACATTCTGAAGTTTCTGAAGCCATGGCTGTTGAAAGCTGAAGCCGTGTATGCAGCGGAACACCCGACTGAACACGACTCAAGCCCTAAGTGACCCTCGTCAGGATAGCACCGAAACCCAGAATACGGGAGCAGTGCTTGAACTTAAGCCTTAAACTTGTTGGGTTGTTATCCTTTTATTTCCGTGGCTTATTGGAGTACTAAGAATCGGACGAGGGGGGGTGTCATGGATTACAGTCGCGGTTATGATCACTCTAAGCTCTCAACCCTATAGATCTGCCAATTAGGGGTTCCTTCAGAGGGATCTATAAAGGATACCATAAGGCTCTATGATATAGGGGCCCTAATAGTGAGAAGAGTATTTTGGGGGCCCAGTATACTATAATCATAATACGGAACCCCCAAAATAGTATAGGTAATTACTAAGGCCCCTGTATCAAACCTGAAACCGACGACCCAGTGTAGGTAGGTTTCACCAGACTTGCAAGAAATCATGAACCTGCCGGCAGGACCTAGGATTTAATTTCGGGCTTCTTAACCTCAAGCCGTGAGAACAGTAAAGCCAAAAACCCTTGGGTCGTAAACCTTATCCAGGCCATATCTTCCAATCTATACCGGGCTATCTCAAGCTTATCCTAAACGACATTGTGCAAATCTGTATAGACCCAAAAGCGTGTACCTCCTAAACTTATGCTACACCATATTAAAAGTCAGGCCTAAACTCGAAGCTCTAAGCCCCTGCAGAATCCCTACATAAAGCCCTTATCGCACCCCTTGACTGAGGTCTCCGTTCATGGTTACGCTGTGAGACAGCGATGGCCAGCAAGGCTCGGAAAAGAGGGTTTCATATGGGTGGTTGTCGAAGTTATGGTCCCTTTATGGGTCCCTATGATAATACGCCACGTATTCTTCAGGGTAATTACCCAAAAAGGGACCATAATTTTGATGACCTCCCATATGCGTCATGTGACACTTTTGATGGTTTTGTTGAACATTGTATGCTTGGTTAGGGCTTTCTAGGGTTTTAGAGGGGCTCGAAGGCCTGACAAGGGATGTATTTGTATGTTGGCCAGGGGTGTAGGAAATGCGGGTTCATATACGAACAGTTAGAGAAAGACTTTTCTTGTGTTGATAGAAAAACTGAGGGTCACAAAGAAGCAGTTGACTCCTTGCACATAATCTCAAAGGCTTCATGTACCCATATAGTATATTCTTAGGCCCTAAAGTACCTGTATAGGGACCCCTTTAAGGCTTAAGTATCTACTATAAAGGTACATGGAGCCTTTGGGAATGCTAAGCCTCCAGGAGCCTAAATTCCTGGGGCTCCAAATGGCTCAAAGTGAGTGCTACTATGTAAACCCTAACGGTTCACGGGACCTGGTTACCAGGGTGAATAAATCAGGCAACACTTGCAGTTAATTACTTATAACCTTGATTGAGATAGTTATGACCTTACTACGGTTGATGCTTTGAATCCTGCATTACCCACAATATATTCCATAATTGCCATAGTTTAGGGTTCTTACGGTAATGCAGGATTTATATCATCAACCCAAACCCTAAATCCCTAGAACCCTAAACCCTGAAGCCCTATACATCCCTTAAAGGAACCCCTGAAAAGGCGCCCTCATAGATCCCACTATATCATCAACCGTACCTGTAGCCCCAAAACACTACAAAATAGCAGGGTATGACCCCTTACTGTTAGAGAGTAGAAACCTTAAACGGTAGGGTTTCGGATCCCTAAACCCTAAACCCCCCAAACCCTATAGATCCCTTATAGGAGCCCTTAAAAGGAACCCTCATAGATCCCTTAAACCCTAGGCCGGTTAGTCCCACGATCCTCGCCAAGTATCTGCAGACTTGTGACACCCACCCAAGTCGGTACTAGGGTTTGGGTTTCCTTTAAAGGGATCTAGAGGGGTTCTATCTATAAGGGGTTGTATCTATAAGGGGCTTTTTTAAAGGGATCTATAAGGGTTCCTATAAAGGATCTATAGGGTTTAGGGTTTGGGAGAGACTCCAATATCCTTTAATTGCGGAATATACGTTAAGTTATAGTAGGATCGCTAGTACGATTTAAGGAATATTCTTCAATTAAGGGATATTGGAGGCTCTGGGTATTGTGGTACTACTGTAGTTGTACAATTGGAGCCCCAGGAAATAGTAGTTTACAGTTCATGAGGTTCAGGGCACAGGACTTAGGGGTTTAGGGTTTAGGGTTTAGGGTGTAGGGTTTAGGGTTTAGGGTTTAGGGTTTAGGGAGGGTGTAGGGCTTGCGGTTTCTATGTAACCAAGCAGGCCATTATTTGGGTTTAGGCTAGTTTACCAGCATGAAGTGTCCGCAGGATGGCTGGTACAGGGTTTAGGGTTCACAGGGGCTCAGGGTCTAGGGAAAAGGGTTCAGTGCCCCCGTACCGAATTTCCGCTGTGTTTAAATTTAAGCTTAAGCTCTTGTGGGTTACATGGCTTCCTTAAGGTAAACCTTTTCTTTAACCAAGATGCACCCTTGAAGCAACTTTATGGACCTATACTTGGAGGGTCATGGGACTTATAGTTCGTAAGGCTGTGAAGGATGTTTGGTTTACTTGACTTGCCACGCCCCATGATCCTTTCGATAGGTTTTTGTAGTTTATGGATCCGTGCTTTCAATGGTGGTTGTCTACTGATCTATTGCTACCAACCATCTCGCGCACCCGTCTTTGCTGCTGTCCATCGTGGCCTTTGCGATGGACAGAGAATCCAAGGGCAGAAGGAGGGACCCAGAAGGACCCCTAGTTACAGGCCCTTAATATAGCTATTATATACCCATTAAATAGCCCATTACAGGTAGGGGTCCATTAAGGGTCCTTCCTTTTCCCCTTTGAGAGAAAGGTGAGGTACGAGAAGCCAAGCCGGGGGAACAAACATGCGCATGCGCCGTGCAGAACTCGAAGAAAACTATCATGGACGTTGACATGAGGGAGTTTCCGAACATAGGGGACCCTAATAGAGTACTTAATTACGTAGGATCCTGATTATTATAAGGACTCCAGATAAGGTACCCCCTAATTTTCGGAAACTCCCATGAGGTTCGTCATGGACACCCTCCATTAATGTAGGAACCTGATTAACAAACACTGGGCCTTTATTAGGGTTCCTTATATGAACCCTACGATTTTGGGGTTATAGGCCCAGGGTTTCCTAATCATGTTCCTACATTACTGACGAGGTTGGGGGCCTCAAATGGAAGAGGGAAATGAACGAAATTCGGATAACTCCCACTCGACATGTGCTTGCTCGGTCTGAAAACTAACAGTAACATGCTGGGTCTAGACAACGAAGACCATCCACCAAGGTCCATATCTGCAATATACCTAAGCGGTTCCAGGGTGTAGGTAGTCTAGGGTCACAGTCTGAATTCTGGAGGAATCTCCTAATTAGAACCTTATGGTTAAGTTTGCCGTAAGTTTTTTGGTGGTGCCATAAAGGGTTCTATGAAGCCTTCACGGGGCTTTATATCGATTTAGAAGGATATAAGATATGCTTTAATAGTGTAGACTCTCGAAGCCCTAATTTAGTTGTCTTATGTTTGTTAAGACAACCTAACCATTGCTCCCTAAAGCCGTAAGCCCGAAACCCTAAAACCCTAAACCCTGAACCCTAAAACCCTAAACCCCAACCTTAAAACCTAAGCCCTAAATTTTCAATCCCATAGATCCCTCTATAGGAGCCCCCTATAGATCCCTTAACCCTGGGCATCAAGATAGCCGAAAATCCTTATATAGTATGGTCTTTGGCATAAAAGCCCCAAAAGATCAGTCCTTAGAGCCCTAGGGTTCGTTTAAAGGGCTCCTAAAGGGATCTATACGGGACCTACAGGGATCATAGGGTTTCCTTTAAAGGGATCTAAGCCTTAGAGAATCTAAGCCCTAGGGTAAGGGGAGACAATAAACCCTGTAAGCGGGAGGTTCTGGTCCTTTTGACCTGGGCAGTCGCTGCAGGCCACGACTTGAAGGTGGGAAGTTTACGAACCCCCAGAAGGGTACTAGGGTTTAGGGGTTTAGGTTTTTGGGCTTAGGTGTTTAGGGTTAGGGTTTAAGGGTTTAGGGGTTTAGGGGTTTAGGGTTTAGGGGTTTAGGGTTTAGGGGTTTAGGGGTATCTCGGGTTTAGGGGTTTAGGGTTTAGGGGTTTGGGGAGGATCAAACAGTAGAATAGGGTTCCTTGTAGGGTTCCTTTAAAGGGTTCCTTCAAAGGTCTTTCGGGATCTGTAGGCTTACGGTGCAGGGTTTGGGACCCCCACAGGGGTACTAGGGTTTAGGGTTTGGGGCCTAGGGATTGAGGGGCAAAGGGTATTATCAGGGTTGTAGGGTTTAGGGTACCACACCCCTTGGAGGATCCAACAATGGATCCGTTAATGGGATTCCTACTACAGAGTACCCGTTAGGTAGCACGGGGTCCCGAATTGGGAGGGTGGTTCTACTTTCTAGACCCTCCCAGGGGGCCGGGAAAGGGATCTCTAGGGTTTTTCGTTGAGGTTTAGTTTTCAGGGTTTCGTGCATGGGATCTACCTATGGATCCAAAAACCTACCGTTTTAAGGGTCAGACCCTCTAGTTAAGGGGTCATAACCTACCATTCTGTAGGGTTTGGGGATACAGGTATAGAATCCTTAACCCTAAACCCCTAAACCCTAAACCCCGCTACCCCAAAGCCCTAAACCCTAAACCCTAAGAACCAAACCGGTCTTGGGGATACAGGTATGGTTTAGGGGTTTGGGTTTTTTGGAGACGCCTGGCGACTCGGAGCGTCGAGCGGCGCTGACCACCTTCAAGGCGCCGATGCCTGAGCCCCTACACCCTAAACCCTGAACCCTAAACCCACAATAAAAATCCTATCCCAAAGCCTCCAATATCCCTTAATTAAGGAATATACCTTAAATCATATAAGGGATACTACTATAATTTAAGGTATATTCCTTAGTTAAGGGATCTTGGAAGGTCTGGGATGCAACATGCTCCGCGGAAGCGGCAATACCTCGGTCCTCGAGTTAGGAGGAGACGAATCCCTAAACCCTAAACCCCTAAACCCGAAACCCCTAAACCCTAAACCCTAAACCCTAAACCGAAGAATGAGCTGAATGCCCGGAGTGCATTGCTGTCTGCAGCACCGTACAATCCTTGCTCCCGCACGTGGGCAGCAAGAAATGCTACGAGCTAAGGCAACTGCAGCAGCAACAGCAGACGGTTTAGGGCTTAGGGTTTAGGGTTTAGGGAAAGGCGGCTTAATGAACTTAGATCCCCAATGCCCAACCTTTTAACTTTTTTGGGTTCTTGTAGTTTAGTAGGAATCGGAAAGTTTAACCTTTTGTTTCTGTGGCTTATTGGAGTAGTAAGGAATGGAAATGCCATAGGCCGTGCCACTTCCGAGCTTGAGGCGGCTTGCCAGTTTGCGAGCCAGATCCAAATGGGTGCGATCTTGGATGGCGCCATCCAAACTCAAAGGATCTCGGGACTTAGTAACTAGGGTTATAACTAGGGTAACCATACTTATAACTACTTATAACTTATAACCCGAATTAGGGTACTTAAAACCTTACTAAGTCCCATGATCCTCTAGGAAGTGTGGCAGTGGTGAGGTTGCCTGCCGCCAGTCACTGGGGGCCATAGGCCAGGACGTGAACGGGTAGTATCGGAGTTGGAATGATACTTTGCAACGCCATGACAATGTACTGGAGTTCCTATATACTTGATAGAATACATCCCCCAAACCTGAAGCCCGATTCTGACAATCAAGGCCCCCATATCAACCCTGAGTATCCTAAGGAACTACATGGTGCGAAGTAGGGCTTCTACATACAAGGCAATGTTATTGCGGGTAGTGTCCGTGTCCGACGTTGAGGTACTTGGAGCTAGATTGTAGACGGTTTCAGAGGAGGCTTTGTTATGGCTTACAGGCCTTTTTTAAGTAGGAATGGCCGCTTCAAGTCAAATCAGGCATTCCCAGTATGTATGATTTCAAAAACACTACACCTCAAACCCTAAGGACTTATCCCATAAAATCCAGGGCGCTGGGATTTCTAGGAAAAAGCTGTGGGCGCTTCGGACTTCACAAGCCATGGAGTCTTTTCAGCCGTAGCTGCCGCGGGATTACGGAGTGAAGCGTTTCGGGCTAAGGGGGTCGAACTAGGGTGTCTAGGGCGCTAGGTCTATGGGGCTTATAAGTGTTGTAGGAGTTCGGGAAAAGTATCATAGGAGGCCCAAAGGGGTTTTAGCCTATGGGGGTTTAGTAGGGATGAGGGTTCCCATAATAGGGTTCATACTAAGGAACCCCTACCCCAAGAATCTTAAACCCCCCTTTTGGCCTCCCATCAAAGGGAGCCTATACCATTAAGGGTACTTTATATGAAGCCCCATTAGTGTGTCTACTTTCTAGATCCTCCCGGGGGTCTGGGTAAAGGGATGACCCTAAGCCCCAAACCCTAAACCCTAAAACCCTAACCCCTAAACCCTAAACCCTAAACCCCTAAACCCTAAAACCTGAACCCTAAAACCCTAAACCCCTAAACCCTAAACCCCTAAACCCTAAAACCTGAACCCTAAAACCCTAAACCCCTAAACCCTAAAACCCTAAACCCCTAAACCCTAAACCCCTAGACGCTGCACCCTAAACGGTGCATTGCATGCAGTCTGGCAAGATTCGGCGGCAACTGCTCGGAAATCTGAAACCGGAGGCCGGTGAGATTTCGCGTTTTGAAAGGTGATACTTATAGGTTCATGGGACTTAGTAACTATGATTATAAGCGGCTCCTTTAAGGGTCCCTTTAAAGGGATCTATAGGGGTTCCTTAAAGGGATCTACAGGGCTTAGGGTTTAGGGTCTACTTAGAGGTTCATGGGACTTAGTAACTGTGCCCCAGGGGCCTTAATGGGACTTAGTAGGGTTATAAGGGCTCCTTTAAAGGGAAGGGTACTACAGGGTTCTGGATTGGGGTTCCCTCTAAGGGTTTAGGGTTTAGGATTTGCTTAGAGGTTCATGGGACTTAGTAACTATGGTTGTAAACACGGTAACTATACTTGTAATTGGTTGTAACCCCAGTTGTGGTACTTATAACCGTACTTACTAAGTCCCATGAACCTCCAAGTAGGATTCAGCGTGGCTGAGGGCTTTAAGGTTTCCTTCCAGGACCCCCAAGGGCACTTTAACAGAGCCCTTATGGCCCCTAATAGTTGGTATTTAGGGTATATTAGAGTGTAGTTGGGGGGGTCTAGGTTGAAGGGTTTTTTTCTGCTTTTTCAAAAAGACGGGTGCTACAAGGGTTTAGGGACAAGGTCCCAGAGACTCCAACATCCCTTAGTTAAGGAATATACCTTAAGTTATCCCTAGTATGATTTAAGGAATATTCCTCAATTAAGGGATATTAGAATCCCCTAAACCCTACACCCTATAGATCCCTTTTCGATCCTTGAAAGGAACCCTGAGCCCTAGGTATTCCTCAATTAAGGGGTATTGGAGTCCCTGGGCAAGGGTTTAGGGACAAGGTTTCGGCTTCGGCCCGAAGCGTTTTAGCGCCTTGAGGCTTTTGGGTTCATGCAGGGGTTAATGTAGGGGCCTTAATAGTGACCTATAGTATTTTGGAGGTTCCTTGTTGCAACTATAGTATAAAGGGCCCCAAAACCCCATTCTAATTATTAATGCCCCTATAAAGTAAGCGGCCAGGCTTTATGGCGAGGCGGGTTTGGGGTTGAGGATTTAGGGTTATGGTGTTTGGTGATCTCGAGGGTTCAGGGCTTGCACAGATCATCCGGTGCGGGAGCACAGACACAAACCGCAGTACCTCTTCCAACTTAACTTACTTCCCTTACCTTAGGTCCCCGATACCTAACCTTTAAACTTTTTGTGTTCTTATACTTTAGTAGGAAGCGGAAAGTTTAACCTTTTATTTCTGTTTTCTTATTGGGGTAGTCAGGTACTGCTGTCTGAGCGGATCCTGAAGAACGGGCCAGATCAGAGGGCTAAGGGTTTAGGGTTTAGGATTTGGGGTTTAGGGTTCAGTGTTTGGGCTTTAGGGTTTTGGGCTTTAGGGTTTAGAGTTTAGAGTTTAGGGTGTAGGGTGTAGGGTTTGGGGGGAATAAGATGAGTCCACCTGTGGACCTAAATATTTGGAGCACAGGACAGGTTCAATTCCTGATCCCACCCCTAAAGCCGCTCCATTCCGAGCTGCCATGATACGTGAAACCCTAAGACCCCTAAACCTCTAAACCCTAACACCCTAACACCCTAAACCCTAAACCCTAAACCCTAACCCCTAAACCCTAAGACCCCTAAACCCTAACACCCTAACACCCTAAACCTAAACCCTAAACCGATACCTTAAAAGGATCTTTATACGAGGGGAGGACCTCTGAAGCCCCAGCAACATCGAAAACCAGGCCCTCAACCCTAAACCCTACCTGGGGGATCCAAAAACCTACTGTTTTAGGGGCTGGACCCTACTTAGAGGTTCATGGGACTTAGTAACTGTGCCCCAGGGGCCTTAATGGGACTTAGTAGGGTTATAAGGGCTCCTTTAAAGGGAAGGGTACTACTGGGTTCTGGATTGGGGTTCCCTCTAAGGGTTTAGGGTTTAGGATTTGCTTAGAGGTTCATGGGACTTAGTAACTATGGTTATAAACAAGGTAACTATACTTATAATTGGTTATAACCCCAGTTGTGGTACTTATAACTGTACTTACTAAGTCCCATGAACCTCCAAGTATAATTAAGGAGTCAGAACCTACTATTTGTAGGATACAGGCGCAGCCTTAAACCCTAAAGCAGCAAACCTTCAACCCTTGAGCCCCACTTCCTAAGCCCCAAACTCCTGAACATTGCACCCTACCAGCACTGTGCAAGGACCCTCCCATAGAGCCCTTATGATCCCTGAATAGTGGTTATTTAGGTAAACCTCAACCCCCTAAGACCCTAAAACCCTTAACCGTTAAGGAACGCCTTTCAAAGTTCAACCCTAAACCCTAAACCTTAAACCCTAAACCCTTTCAAAAATCGAGAACCAAAGAGCAGGCGCCCTCCGGCCACCTCAGCACGGACTCCTCGAATTTGCAGACTCAAACCAGGCAGTGGCGTTTCTCTGTGTGTGAGTGTGTGTCTTTTTAAGGGTGTAGGGCTCGAAGCCCTAAACTCTAAACCCAAACCACCTTTAGGGTTCAGACGGGGATTTGGATTAGGGTTTAGGGATTTGGCTGCTGACGGGCTCCTTAAACGTCACCAAGACGGTTCTGCAAAAGATCTGTTCACAGAGTTGCGTTTCGGTGTTTGTTGTGTTTTTGGAGGCTTAGTGTTTCGATCAGGGTTTCAGGGGAACTCTATGGGCTTTTGTAGGTTAAGGGATCCTCATATAACTGCTCTGTTGAGGGTTAACGGGTGTTTGTAGGGTCTAACAGTCTCACAGGAAATTCATAAGGGCTTTTCGCAAGGGTGTTGGGGTTCAAGGTTGACGGTTCTCCAGTTGTGCAAGGATTTCTTTATCACTATCGAATAGGTCCCGACGGACATCCTTGAGTCCGAAAGCATAGCTGTGGCAGTGCGATGTGTCGGCCAGCGGCCGAACTTGGCGAATGTGCCCCAGTTGACATCGAAGTTGCTTACCCGACTAAATAATGGAGATCTCGCAGCACACCGGGCTCTGGCATTACCACCACCCTAAACCCTAAACCCTAAAACCCTAAACCCTAAACCCCCTAAACCCAAAACCGGATGGTATGTTGCTGCACTCCCAGCCCAAGACACCACCGGCATTACCACCAGCTGGCAGAAAGCCCGGTGTGTTGGCTGGGACTTGGAGTACCATACTTTAATACTTTTCTCTTAGCGGAACGGTTTAGGGTTTAGGGGTTTAGGGTTTAGGGGTTTAGGTTTTAGGGTTTAGGCCCTAAACCCTAAACCCTAAACCCATTACGAAATACAAGCTTATGTTTTTTCCTCCCTGGTTACTTAATAGCCCAGTTGGCGAATCGAGTACCGCACTCCAAACCCAAGAAGCGCCCATCGCCGGCCGTGGCTCCCAACAGCAACTGAGATCCCCAATGCCCAACCTTTTAACTTTTTGGGTTCTTATCGTTTAGTAGGAACCGGAAAGTTTAAGCTTTTATTTCTGTGGCTTATTGGAGTAGTAAGGCAAGAAGGGAGGCGAATAATGCAAGCTGTGGACAATTTTTTGGGGGTGCACAGGGTTTGCAACTTAGGTTTTGGATTGATGATATAGTGTCTGTCAGGCTGCCAAGATGATGAAAGAGCAGGCAACGACAGAGAAGGGGACGACAGAGAATACCCAAGCTAACCCCAAACGCATCAAGACCTCAAGCCCGCTTGAGCCGCATACTTGCAGCTTCATCCACTGCTTTCTATGGTATGGTGTAAACATGGATCCGAAAGCCTACTAGGCTAGGGGTTGGGCCCTACAGTATAGCCAGCGGGTCAGAAAATTGGGTTTTGCAGGGTTTGGGGATACAAGTAAACCCGAATTCGGATGTTAACCCGTCCCGAAGGTCCTTCACGTCGCTCACGACTGAGTGACCCATTCCTTGCATGTTTGGTGCCTGCGGCTAAGATCTGGGTCAGATACCCTCTACCCGTAAAGCACAACAACCTCCCCTAAACCCAAGACCCTTGACCCTAAACCCCCAACCATTCAAGCCAACCTTCCTTTCAATCCTTCCGTCGCTGCGTCTCCCGCCCCCTGTCCTCTCTCTCTCTCTCTCTCTCTCCCTCTTTCTCTCTCTCGTTCTCTAAATCTTTCTCTCTGTTCTCGTTTTGCAAGGCAGAAACTCATCTCAGACATGTTGCAAAACTGCATGCCACTGAACCCGAGTTGATGAAATATTTACAAGGACTGTAGAAGGCTTGATGCATGCTTGTAACAGGTTCTACAAGGATATCTATGACTGTATGACTACAACAGCAACTACTACTACCACTACTACTCCTCCTCTTGCTGCTACTGCTATTGCTACAAAGGCTACCTACTAGACCTACTACTGTTACTACTACTGCTGCTGCTGCTGCTGCTGCTATTTGACCGTGCGTCGTGAGCGTACGTCGTGAGCTGAGTTTGGGGTTTACGGCGACTATATGGGTGGTTGTCAATATTAGGGTCCCTTTTTGGGTCCCTGTTATAATACGGCACCTAATATTTAGGGTACCCAAAAAGGGACCATAATTTTGGCAACCACCCATATAGCTTTTTGCGTTTCAAGCCGACAGTCTCGAGCTGGCATGAGGGGTGATTTGCGGGGTTGGTATGTGACATGCCTGATTGGAAGCTTTGCACTTGTGGGTAGCAGACTCCAACATCCCTTCTTTAAGGAAGATACTTTAAATTGTAGTAGGATCTTATATATATATATATATGATTTTAGGAATATTCCTTGATTAAGTAGGGATATTGGAGTCTCTGGGTACGCCTTCCATCACTGTGCCCCCAGCCTTAATCACTGAAACCGCAACACCCTAAGCCGCATAAAACCCTAAACCTTAAACTCCAAAAATGCTCCTGGTGGCACTCTCCAGGTACCCTTTCTACCACAGCACGGACGAGATAGCAGAGCAGGCCGCAGAATATGAGAAGTCCCAAAGTATGAAGACCCAACAACGTTTGTGGTGCTTTCAACAGCTTGCTGTAGGGGTTTAGAAGAGAGTGTGTGTTGTTTTCTTAATATCGTTCAGGGTGACAGAAAGACTCAGCAAATAGTCCGTAGACCTTTGGCATTGATTGGGTTAGGCCCGCACCGACTAATAATAGTCACCGTAAGGGTGAAGGGTCGTCACATTTGTCCACCTTTGCATTTCTCCAGCAAAGCCTTGTGTTTTTGTTCGGCCCGACTAATAATAGTCACCGTAAGAGTGAAGGGTCGTCACATTTGTCCACCTTTGTATTTCTCCAGCAAAGCCTTGTGTTTTTGTTCGGCTGCGCTCCCCTTCATTTTTCCAGAGGCTTGCAATAATTTCGAGGTGGGGGATGGTGGTAATTAATCAGAAACAAACTAAATTTCGTCCTGTTTGATCTAGAAATTCGACTTCGTAGGGTTCTTGACACAAAGTATAATTGTGCTACAATATGACGCGGACACTATAGTAGGGCGTAGTGGTACAATCTCGTATGGTTTGATGTAACTTGTAGAAAGGACTAAGTCTCGGGTATGGCCCGTCTGTGCTTTCAGTGTTGGGGCATGTAGGCTGTTGTGTCAAGGTTCCAGGTTTAGTGTGTAGGATAGTTTGCCTGTAGGATTCAGGGACCCAGCCCTAAACCCCGAAACCCTCAAACCCCAAACACTCGATATTCGACTGCTCTGGGAAAATCAACTTGAGATTGCAGGAACTTTTGGAGGATTTTTGTGGTTATGCCAAAGCTTGTTCATAGCTGCCATCCGAGCAGGGGATTGAGGCATTTAGGGCTCCTACTGTCGCAACTGCAGCAGCAAGGACAACAACGACGAAGTAACAAAATAGCAAGGATCAGCAGGAATCACAATGCTGATGATGTGAGTGATCCTAAGCCTAAACTAAACTATGAATTCCAATCCATGCGGGCTTATCTGGACCCATACTATATCCTGCGAGTGTCCCACACAGCCATATAGTCGCCCTTCAGAAACCCGCAGCCGTACACCCTAAATTCAACCGAACCCCAAACCTGAAACTGAAACCCCTAAACCCCCTATCGACCCATTGAAAAAGAACCCTCCGTCCTAACCTCAGTAATAACGGAACCCTAAACCTGAAACTGAAACCCCTAAACCCCCTATCGACCCATTGAAAACGAACCCTCCGTCCTAGCCTCGGTGAACTTTCCCTAAGGGTCCAAGTACCCAAATAGTAGGGTTTTAAGGTCCAAAAACCACTCAGAGTATGGATTTTGGGACCTAAAACCCTAAACCCTAAACCCTAAACCAAACCATTCAGAGTATGGATTTTGGGACTTAAAACCCTAAACCCTACTATTTGGGTACTTGGACCCTCTGGGGGTGAACTTTTGAACCTGCCCCAGGCCCGTGGTATTGCGGAGAAGTGCGCATCCACGGCTCTTCCCCAAGGATAACAGAGGGCTTTTCTTAAAGGTTCCCGAGCCCACTATCAACAAGGCTTGCCATCTTAGGGTTTGGAGTTTAGGGGTTCAGGGTTTAGGGGTTTGGGGGTTTAGGGGTTTAGGCTTAACTGTTGAGGGCTTTTCTTAAAGGTTCCTTTCCAGAGTTCCTCTAAGGGTTCTTTACAAGGTTTCTTTATGAAGAGATCTATACGGGTTTAGGGCTTGTTCGGGTGTTGAGGGTTCAGGGGCGGCATAAGCAGTGTTGGCTTGATCTGCTGCGCCCGGGGATGCTGCCGCTCTTAAACAAGTTCATTTGGTGCGAGATTCGCGCCGGGATGGAATGATGTGGGTGGTTGTCAAAGTTCGGGTCCTTTTTGGGGTCCATATTCTAATACGGCACCTAATATTTATGGTACCGAAACAGGGGCCATAATTTTGACAACCACCCATGTGTTGTCGCTGCTTTCGGGCACCTTAGCCTGGCAAGGCTACGTTTATGTAGTTCCCTCAGACATTCCACATTGAGGTTCCCCATGATCCTTTTCCTAATTACACCCCAGCAAACCCCTATAAGCCCTAAACTCCTAAACTGTTGCACATTTTAAGGAACCCTTGAAGCGTGTGTTGCTGTCCAAGTTGGGCTTACCTACGGTGGGAGAGCATAGAGGTCCCCACAATTGTCCATAGAACACCTCCTATTCCTAAGCCTAGGTTTTGCATACGGCCAAATCCTAAAGTCATGTGCCCTGTGGTGGAACATACCCTGAAACTTCCCCGACGCTAGAACGTAGTTCTGGTTTGAGAACCCAGCTTATGGTTGGGATCTTATACAACAAGAAACCATACGGTACCCAACAAAAGGTACTAAGTTTCAGGATCTCTAAACGCTGAACCCCAAACCCTAAACCCCCAAACAACCGTCCCGACTCGGGTCGTTTCGTAGTGTGATGTTACGTACCCTTACAACCCTAAAGCCTTCAACCTGTTGTATGCGTGCGAGAGCTTCGCCATATGCCGTACCACTATGGGCTATTAGACCTTAAGGGTACCTTAATCAACCCTTAATAGGGTCCTACTAGGGATCTTTAGGGTCTAATAGCCCATAGTGGTAAGGCTAAAACCTCTGAAGACATCCTTGGGGCTGTCCTGCGATCCCACCCCTGCTAAGGCAGACACAAAGAAGGGTTATTCAAAGCATCATACAGCATTCTGTGGTCTGTAACCGGGTCGACTTGCTTTTTTTGTAGGTGTTCTACCATATGATAATAGAATCGTTTTTACGCTTTGCTTTGGATCATGCGGTCAGGAGTTGCGTGGCCACTGACTTGACCCCCAAACCCTACCCTAAGCCCTAGAACACACGGTATGCTGCTGACCAGGGCCATCCAGGTCTGTCAGGAAAGCCCACGTTTCATGTTGGGGAATAAGGCTCACATGCTCTGGCACCCTAATGCCTTGGACGAGATCGAAGAGGCTCATGGTTCCATGGTACGTAGTTGAGCAGCTCCATCAACCTACTTGCGAGGGTGCAGCTCCCACCGACCCCGTCACCAGAATTCCAGGAACTGCCGGTCGAGCAGGTATGCCACGAAGGCTGAACTTGTTATTTTTTCAGACATGTAGCTCTCGGCACAGGAAGAGCTGGGAGGAAGCTCGTCTGATGGTCTAATGATAGCTCAGTGGATCGGGTGGTGTGAGGTGGTAATTAATCCCCTATGCTGAGTAGTAGCATTCCCATCCCTCAACCAAATTCGTAGTCTGGAGGCGCACGGCTAAAAGACACGAGGGTTCAACAAAAAAGGAAGCCTAGATGGGGTTTAAAGTCCAAGCCGTACAACATAGCAGGTCATGATGTAATTAGCGGAAGCTTTTTAGAAGGTGAACCCTAGACCCTAAACCCTAAACCCCTAAACCCCTAAACCCTAAACCCTAGAAACGATAGGTTTTTTTCGGATCCATCCCGAAGCCTGAATTGGGGTTTGTGGAGCCCGCAGCCCGGAAGCCCCACCCGACATATGGGAGTTTCCGAAAATAGGGGACCCTAGGTAATGTACATGGTAGAATCCTCATTTTAGGGACCCGGATATAAGGTACCCCTACTTTTCGGAAACCCCCATATCAAGTCCATAGGTTCAGCGTTTAGGTTTTAGGTTGAAGGGGTCCATAGGTTTACGGTTTGGGGTGGAAGGCAAAAACTCCCCCCAAGCCTTAAAACCGCACGACCTACACCCCAGTAGAACGGAACCACACGAAACGCTATCCAAATCAAAGGCCTGTCCAAACCGTGTAAAACGTCATAAAATGAATTTGAAACGCAAGTAACGCAGTAGAAATTATTCACTTAGTTGCTGAGTAGGTAACCTGCAAGCTTTCGGGGCTTACCTTACTATAACTGAAAAGGTTACCTGCTTTGGGCTCGGGTATCCCCTAAAATCCGATCCTACCTAAAAAGTCCTATAAAGCACCCAGAAGACCCACTGCACCGTATCTGACTTTCCTTGAGGCTCCAATATCCCTTAATTGACGCATATACCCCAGATTACAGTAGGATCCTTAATATGATCAAGGTATATTTCTTACGTAAGGGTCCTTGGAGTCTTTGGGTTAAGCACAATCATCTATAGGACCCTTAAAAGGAGGCCTAAACCCCTAAACCCTAAACCCCTAAACCTTAAGCTTTAAGAAATTGGAGTCTCTGAATTTAAGGCCACTGTGAGCACCGTCAATGAAAGTGGCGCCCCGGCCTCAGTACGGACTCGAGAGCTTTCCCCAAGGGTCCTAGCGTTTAGGGTTCCTGTGGGTTTGGGGGCTTTGGGGTTTGGAGGTTGGGGTTCCTTCAAGGAGATTGTATGATTATTAGGTACTTCGGTTGATGATATAGATCCTGCATTACCCATAATAAGGAATATACCATAATTCCCATAGTTTGGGGTCCTTAAGGTAATGCAGGATTTATATCATCAACCGTTGGACCCTTGGGGCTTACCCTAAGACTCCAGGCTCAGGGTTTGTGGTGTAGGGCCAACTAGCCCAAAGCAGGAACTCTTGATAGCCTTCAGACCTTGAAGTAAGCAAGTACTAGTTGTATATTTGTAGCCTTAGGTAGCGATCAGCTTGTATCATGACAAGTTCAATCAAAAAGATGTAAAGCGATCACTTAATAGATCATAAGTAGTCATAGTATAGTATTGAAACATGTTTATTACTTTTGAAGACTCGTATAGTCGCCTGTATGAACTGCATACGCGTCGAATCGTAACAAGCGTTGCAAATAGCACAATGACCAGGTTATAATATAAAACCCGAAAAATAGCATAGGAGCCAAGAGTTTACCTAAACAGCAAATGGCCTACTTTTCATATTCAGCAGGAGCCCTATGGCAGGGTTCAGGGTTTAATATACGGGCCTGAATAATTTGATTCGGGTTTTGGGGCGCCATGTCTTTGGCACTATATACGGTTTTATTGTACTTTAGAGGTAACTAGGGAATAGATGGTTTTTTCGGCTTAGAGGTTCTAAGGGTCCGTATCACGGAGCGACCATCGTAACACACATCTGCTGAGATCACAACTCAGAAGAGTACACCTTCGTGCCTATGTATGTGTCCAGCACCTGGCAGGTAAACACCAAGGAGCTTTCAAGCAAACAAAGGGCTTCGGGCGTTTTCTAGGTTCCTCAGTAGTACCCGTTTGCACTTTTTCATTTAGGGCTCCCCTTATCGAAATTTAAAAACGAACAGTAGGAAAAAGGGTACCCTCATTATTATGAAGGGGCTGCTCAGAAACCTAATTATTTTAATCTTTGTACTTGTAATTACTTATCACCCCAAGTGAGGTGCTGACATCCCTCCTTACTAAGTCCCATAATCCTCCAGGTAGATTTTACGGGGATGGAGCATAGGATACAGTTTCTTCTTAGACTGAAATGTAGTACCTTTATGCGGTAGCCTTAGATTCTTGTTAAGACTGCAAACCCGCTCACAGGCCTTGCTGGACGAGCTCAGCGCTGTGGGCAAAGAGTTGGGCGTCGAAGAGTACGCGACAGTGCACGGAGTCTCGTTGACCGGCGTCAGCAGCGAGGTCCACTCCGTGCTGCACCTGGCAGCTGAAGAGCTGCGGCTGGGACAGATCGCCGCAAGCTTCTTCGGCGTTGTGACGCGAGCCGTGCCGGCCGAATTGGTGGACCGCCTCACGACGGGAGGTCGGCCTACAGGCTCCAGCGCGCTCCACATGGTGGCAGGATCCAAAAAGACATAAGCATCGCTAAATTAGGGTCCCTTTCATGGTCCTTCCTTCGTTATATGGGTGCCGTACTATGTTGGGGGATGTAGAAAGCGACCTTAATTTAGAGAACTACTGATGCACCTCTTTGATTGGAGAATGTGAGGTTTTACATGGTTTAGAGGAGGTTGTTTTCAGAAATGGTGAAGTGCTGCTGTCACATCAAAGCTTTCCAACCTCAAACCCCGAAGCGGAACAGACAATGTAGTCCCTGTAGCACCCTTACGGCAAGCCTTATAGTGTAGGCACCTCATCAAGAAACCCTGGGTCTTTATTAGGGTTCTTCCTAAACCCTAAACCCCCTTCTATATTGCGGCTTTAGGGCCAGGGTTTCTTAATCAGTTTCCTGCATTAGATCCTGTTAAGGAGCCCTAAAAAGGATCCTCAAACCCTAAACCCTAAGCCCTGAGTCTTAAAACCCCTAAACCCCGAAACCCTACACCCCGAATCCCTAAACTCAAGCAGGATCCCTTTTCAGGAACCCTACAGGGATCCCTTTTTTGAAAGGAACTCCCGCTCCAAAGGTCGCCCTTGACATTGTGAAAGTAGGGTATCCCCTAATTTTCCGAATAGGTGACCCTAATATAGTACCGATCCCTATTACAAGGACCCCCAAATCTGGTATCCCTAATTTTCGGAACCTCTAAACCCTTATAGTAGCCCTTTCAAGAAACCTTTATAGTAACCTTTTAAAGGAACCTCCTTTTTAAACCCTTATAGTAGCCCTTTCAAGGAACCCTTATAGTAGTACCATTATGGTAGCCCTTTAGAGGAACCTTAAGGTACCCTTGATTTTCCGCAACTCCCATATTGGAGTCCCATAAACCCTAAACCCTATAGATCCTTTGAAGGAACCCTTATAAGGATCCCTTTTAAAGGGACCCTAGACCCTAAGCCCTTAAACCGCAAAAATCGTACCCTTATGGTAGCCCTTTAGAGGAACCCACAGGTCTCGCTTGACATTGTGAAAGTGTCGTCGTCCGGCACTCGGCAACAGAAAGTCTCCCTGGGTTTAGGTTGGAGGCGTTTAGCGTTTAGGGGTTTAGGGGTTTAGGAATTTAGGGGTCCAGGGGTTTAGGGGTGGAAGGTTTAGGGTTCAGCGTTTAGGGTCCAGGGGCGGAGGATTCAGGGAGCGTATGGGGGCGTGAGGGTTTAGGGTTGAGGAGTTTGAGGGGAGGCGGGGGGTGGAGGCGATGTTAGGGTCAAGTTCAGTGCTTAGAGTCTAGCCTCCCTTAACCGTAAACCCTAAACGTCTACCTTGTGGCTCCTTTTTAGGGTGTAGCCAATTTCGGATGGAGGTTTCTATAACCCACCATAGAGGAACCCCCTACAATCCTGAGCCCTAGGGTTTAGAGTCTATAGGGTGTATAGTCTACAGGTTGTTTTTAGCGTTCAAGGTCTGGGATTCGGATGTAAATCAGGGTAAGTAATTTGGTTTGCAGAGAGTTTGCTCCACCATGCAGGAATGTGTTCTTTTTAATGTATTTAATTTAATACTTCAATGTGTGTGGGTGTATGTGTACATATATATATATAATATTATATACGTCGAGTTATCATATCACACACTGAGCCTGAACATATCTAAGTGTTGCCTCTAAGCCCTTAGCTCGAATCCTAAGATCAACCTTTCCTGAAGAGTTGTACTGTAGAAGCGTGAATAATCAATACTACTACCCCTCAGGGTTGCTTAATGTACCCTACTTGGAGGCCCTTTTGACTTAGTAAGTAGGGTTAGTAAGGTGGGTTATGGGGATTATAATGGGGTTTCTAGGGGATACTAAGTAGACTTACTAAGTCAAAAGGGCCTCCAAGTAGTAGTAGAGCAAGTAATCCCTATGTATCTCTATATAACCAAAAAGGTTGACCTTTAGTTCCCCGTGATACCCGACAAGTAGGGTACGGCTGCTTATCAGCACGTTTAAACTACTGTAAGCCCCAAGCCCTGTTACTGTTCTAATTTGTATTCTCGTGAATTCGCCTATATTGAACTTCATAGAGACCCTTTAAGGGCTTTGGGTTTTGGGCTTGCGGGTATGTGGGCTCGAGCTTTGGTGTCGAAGGTTTTAAGGTTTAGAGAAGTGCTTGCGAGATGAGACTTTCGGAGAAACAGGTGGTTTCAGCTCATGGGCATCATGGAAACTTAAGATAGGGGCCTGAATAATTACCAACACCATTTTGGGGGGGTCCTCGTTGTATCTATGGTATATACCTCTAAACCCTAGTCTAATTATTCGGGCCCCTATAGCAGGAATAGGACTCTGTAGACCTAGTTCGTGCTTCAAACTAATTGCTACTACATTCCCTTTACACGTAGAGGATCGTAGAGGCATCGGTGTTCGTTAGCTCGTCATGTCGATTACTGTGGGAGTCGGGCTGCTAAGTGGCAAGACAGCGTCTGTGATAGCTGGCTTAGACGAAGAGGTCGAAACATTGAAGCGTCGGGCACAAGCCGCACTCGGAATTGGAAGAGGGCAGCTGGTGGACTCATCTGGAAGCATTCTGGATGTATGTTTACCAGTCAGTCTTTCCAGTGTCCAAGACGGTGATTTCCTGACTGTGCACCGAAGTAAGGTTCAAGTTCAATCCTCCTTTGCAGCTTTTGCTGCCACGCTTGGTGACGCATCGGTCGTGACCTGGGGTGATGCTGGGTACGGTGGTGATAGTAATGCTGTGCAGGATCAGCTGAAGAATGTGCAGCAGATACACGCTACTGGCAGCGCTTTTGCTGCAATTCTCGGTGACGGATCCGTGGTGACCTGGGGTGATGCTCACTATGGCGGAGACAGTAGTGCTGTGCAGGACCAGCTGAAGAATGTGCAGCAGGTTCAAGCCTGTGAGCGTGCCTTTGCTGCCATTCTCCGCGATGGATCGATCGTGACATGGGGATATGCTGGTAATGGTGGTGACAGTAGTTATGTGCAGGACGAGCTGAAGAATGCACACTGGATCCAGGCCTCTGACGGTGCCTATGCCGCCAGCGTTGGCGATTTATCGATCGTGACATGGGGTTATGACGAGTATGGTGGCGGCAGTAGTGCTGTGCAGGATCAGCTTAAGAATGTGCAGCAGATTCAGGCTTCTGGCAGTGCGTTTGCAGCCATTCTTTGTGACGGATCGGTCGTGACCTGGGGTGATGCTGGCTATGGTGGAGACAGCAGTGCCGTGCAGGATTGTCTGAAGGACGTGCATCAGATCCAAGCATCTTATAGCGCTTTTGCTGCAATGCTTCACGACGGATCCGTCGTGACCTGGGGTGATGCTGACGGCGGTGCTGACAGTAGTGCTGTGCAGGATATGCTGAAGAATGTGCAGCAGATCCAAGCCAGTCACTATGCCTTTGCTGCCATTCTTGGTGACGGATCGGTCGTGACCTGGGGTGATGCTGGCTATGGTGGTGACAGCAGCGGCGTGCAGGATTGTTTGAAGGATGTGCATCAGATCCAAGCATCTCACAGCGCTTTTGCTGCAATTCTCCACGACGGATCCGTCGTGACCTGGGGTAAGCATGGCGGGGGTGGCGACTCTAGCTCTGTGCAGCACCAACTAAAGACCGTGCAGCAGATCCAAGCCAGTGACAGTGCTTTTGCTGCCATTCTTGGTGACGGATCGGTCGTGACTTGGGGTGATGCTCAGTATGGTGGAGACAGCAGTGCCGTGCAGCATCAGCTGAAGAATGTGCAGCAGATCCAAGCCTCTTGCCAAGCTTTTGCTGCAATTCTTCACGACGGATCCATCGTGACCTGGGGTATGGATGGCTGGGGTGGCGACTGTAGCTCCGTGCAGCACCAGCTGCTCGCACAGTAATTACCCAGATCTTCCAATATCCTTTGATGAGTTTATATAAGGACCATACCTTAAATCATATCAGGGTTCCTACGATAATATGTAGTGGTATATTCCTAAATCAATTGATGTTGAAAGGTTTGGGTAGAAACTCTAAACCCTAAACCGTTCGGTTCTCGAGCTTCTTCGAGCTTCTCGAGTCCCACGCGGCGGTTGCCCTAACCGCCAAAGAATGCTAGACCCCTAGCCCCCCCAACTTAATCCTAAATCGTATACCCAAAGAAACCATAAATCCCAATCACCTCAAACCCTTGTTAAGTCCGATATAAATGTTTAACAGTTGCTCTTATATTTCTTACAGAATGCATCTTTATAAACAAGTTCGCGAAGCGAAGGGTTACAGGCAACACCCTCTCGCAAGTGAAGACTCAAAGGGGAAAAAGAGGGGCCCTTAATGGGGACCCCTAGCCTATAGGCTATATTATGGGTATATACCTAGGGGTCCTTATTAGGGGTCCCTCCTTCTCCCCTTTGAAAGACCTTCAGACAGAGATGTTACTTCGGGTTCCTTTAAGGTGCCTTTTCAGACATAACGAGTGGTGTTAGTGGTTCCGCTCAAATTTCTCTAAGGGCTCGTGGTTTCTGTCTGATTTTCTTGACTTAATCACAGGGACCCTTAGGGGGGTAGGGGGAGGGGGGTAAGGGGACCTTAATGCCCATAATACGGACCTAATAAGGCCGATTTAATAAGGAAATCTAGTCCCCTACGGCTGGTCATAGACATCCTGCATTACCCATAAGAAGGAATATACCATAATTACCATACCCAGAGGGTTCAAGTACCCAAATAAAGTAGGGTTTTAGGTCCCAAAATCCATACTCCGAATGGTTTTTTGGAGCTTGAAACCCTACTATTTGGGAACTTGGACCCTTAGGGTCTATGTATTTAATGTATATTCCTCCATTAAGGGAATATTCATTGGAGCCTCTGGGCTTCGTCAGGACTTATATGGACGTTTCCGAAAATGGGGACCCTAATATAGTGCCCTAGGATAGTTTAGGATCCTTAAGAGGTAATGCAGGGTTTATATCATCAACCGTATGACTTGTGGGCTGCTAGCATCGACGCCTCGCGGACCCCCAGGACGGAACACGAGAGCACAACAGGAAGTGCCTTAGATATAAATCCT